CACTCAGGTCCTCTGGAAGGGCAGCAAGCTCTCTTCACTGCTGAGCTGTCTCTCCGGCCACCTCATCTTTACTTATATGTAGGAAAACACATAAGATAAAAGCTAAAGTCCACCCAAGCTTCCACACCCTCTTGTGTTATCAATGGCAGAGAGTCTCTGTCATATCTCTGCACCCAGAGAGGGCTGAAGTAAAGTTTGGGACTGAGCCCAAAGTCCTCAATAAGTCTAAACAAAGACACATCTGGATGGAAAGAGGGATGGAGAAAGGGAGGAGGAGAGAAGGGAGGAAGGAGTGTGGAGGAGGGGAGAAGGAACAGAAGAGGAGGAGGGAGAGGAGAGGCCAGGAGAGGAGGGGAAGGACAAGAGAAGAGGAGCAGGGAGGGAAGAGAAGAGAGGAGAGGAGAGAAGAAGACAGGAGGGGAGGGGAGGGGAGAGAAGAAGAAATGAGAGGAGGGGGATTTGGCTGCTTTTGTGCTCCCTCAGACTAAGACTTACCCTTTAAGGGTCTCAGGGAGGAGAGACTGACACAGACTAGGTAGAGAGCCCTGGGCTCTGGTCATGGCATGTCCCTAACTCCCCAGCATCTTATCTGTCTTGTCCTCAGAGCCAGGATGAAGCTGGGGCTGGGGCAGAAGCAAGAGGTGCAGGGTAGGAAAGAGTAGGGGGCATGCTGCTGGGCAGTTCTGCAAAAGGATGATGTCTGTGCCCCAGGTAGTGGGACCCTCAAGTCTTACCAGACGCCTGTCTGGGGGAGGGGAGCAGGAAAGAGGAGGAAGCACCTGAATCTAAGGTTGGGGTCAGTACAGCTCCACCCACAAGCTTTTTGCTGCTCTGAGTACAGAGCTGACCTCCAAATACTGTAACCCCAGACTTCAGCACAGCCATCGTCCTCTGAGTCCATGACCAGGCCCTCCTTCCTGTGCCACACTCCAACCTCTTGGTCTGAATAAAATCTGTGTACATCTCAGTTGTCTGTGTCCCTGACATGTCAACAGAGAGCATGGTCCTACTGTCTTGTGCCAGAGGTCTTTCTGCAGCTGCACTGGGGGAGGCTAGCAAGAGCAAAAGGTGCAGACATGTCTCTGATCAAGGCCTCGGGGGAGGACTGGCCTTCAGGAAGTCCTCTCAGGAGCTGGAGAAGGAAAGTCCTAATAATATATGCCATTTCTTTTGAAATATCACTTGACCCATACCAGCTAAGCACAAAACAAACATCACAGCAGAACTAACTGTTTACACACACACACACACACACACACACACACACACACACACACAAACACACACACACACACACACACACACACACACACACACGGAAAAAAATTGACGGAGGGATGGAGGGGGGAAGAGAGAAAAATCAGAACGAATGAGAGAAAAGAGAGAAAGAAGAATTGGACAGCCATTTGGACTTCACACACTTTTTGTGATTCCAGTTGGGAAGTTAGTCCCTCTGCTCTGTCTCCCTCAAGCCAAGTCACAGAAGTTGGAACTGAGCCCAGGAGCTTCCACTGACCACCACCTCATGCTCTGTTTTATCATACATCTATTTCTGCAGTGCTGGGACTGAATCCAGAACCTTCCTCACACTAGGTAAACATTCTGCCATCCAGGTACATCTCCAGCTTCTTTACTATTGTTTGGTACTATAACAAAGATGGGGTCTCTCTGCAGAGGCTGACCTTGGATTCCTGGGCTCAGCCTGCCAGTACCCGAGGTTCCCCACCTGTGACACCAAAACCAGCTCTTGGTACTTTTCCTTTTCATCCATGGGAGCACTGGCAGCACTGGGCAGCTAAGATGAAGTCAGGGAGTCTGCTGGCCCGCCCTGCACTTCTCTGCTCTTAGGAGGCTGAGCCAGGAGGTTCACTTGAGCCAAAGGATTCCAGGCCACCCTGGACAACCCAGCAAAACCTGTCCACACAAAAGGAGGAAAGGGAGAGCTAGGGGGAAGAAGAGAAAGGAGGATCCAGGAGAGCAGAGTAGACACAGGAAAGAGAGAGGGAAGAGGGGAGAGAAGACAGGGGGAGGGCTCCTCTGTGGGTCCCTAGCATCTTACCCTTCTTGTTTCCAGAAGAGTGTGCAGGGTTAGAAAGGGGAGTGAGAAGCTGGGACCCAGGGCAAGGTGGAGGGGGATGGGCACTGCTCAGGCTGGTCTGAGCGACTTCCTTCTCTGCCCAAGGCACTGGGACCCTTACTTCATCCCAAACACCATCACTGGAGACAAACGAAGGGGCGAGAAGCACCCCAGAGGGTGATGAGGATTCCCTGCCCCCCCCCCCCCCCCCGGTGGAGGTCCATGGCCGCCTCCAAGAACCCGGGCGCCCCCTGCCGGCCTTGCTCTGCAGCGCACCGCCCTAGCCAGCCAGTGAGGGCCGACCCGAGGGCGTGGCCCAGGCGCCGCACGTATATAAGTGCAACTTGCTGCAGCTCCAACACACTTCTGATTCTCACAGACTCAGGAAGGAATCATCATGGTGCTGTCTGCGGAGGACAAGGCCAACGTCAAGGCTGCCTGGAGCAAGATTGGCGGCCATGGTGCTGAATATGGCGCGGAGGCTCTAGAGAGGTGAGACCCGGGCCTCTGCTCTGTAAGGACCACACCAAAGCAGATCTGGTGCTCAGAGGGCAGGAAGCCCCTACCTGTGCTGTCCTGTGACCGCCTCAACTCCCACCTTCTTCCCACAGGATGTTCAGTAGCTTCCCCACCACCAAGACCTACTTCCCTCACTTTGATGTGAGCCACGGCTCTGCCCAGGTCAAGGGCCATGGGGCGAAAGTCGCCGACGCCCTGGCCACCGCCGCTGGCCACCTCGATGACCTGCCCGGTGCCCTGTCCGCTCTGAGCGACCTGCACGCTCACAAGCTGCGTGTGGACCCTGTCAACTTCAAGGTGTGTGCTCGGCCTGAGGGCGGCGGGGACAGGGGAGCAGGATCTGAAACCCGCAGAGAGGGCATGGGGCCCCACGGGCCCATGGCAGGGAAACCAGCGATTCCAGAAAGGGAACCCGGGCAGCTTGGCGTCTACTGCCACGGACTGACCCTTCCTGTCTCCACAGCTCCTGAGCCACTGCCTGCTGGTGACCCTGGCCGCCCACCACCCTGCCGAGTTCACCCCCGCGGTGCATGCTTCTCTGGACAAATTCCTTGCCTCTGTGAGCACCGTGCTGACCTCCAAGTACCGTTAAGCTGGAGCCTCAGGGCTGCCTCCTGCCAGGCTTGCCTTCTGCCCAGGCCCTCCCCCCTCCCTCGCACCTGTACCTCTTGGTCTTTGAATAAAGCCTAAGTAGGAAGAAGCCTGTGTCCCTGGGTTGTCTGCATCTGCAAAGGTGCCATGACTGGTGTGGGGAAGCCACCAGGACCTAAGTGGTGGTTCTCAACCTTCCCAATGCTGTGACCCTCTAATACAGTTCCTCACGTTGTGGTGACAAGAAATTATTTTGTTGCTACTTCATCAATGTAATTTTGCTACTGCTGTAAATTCTAATGTAACTATCTGGTATGCAGGATTATCTGCTATATGGTGCCTAAAGGGGTCACAACACATAGCAGCGCCTCTAGGTCCCCTCGAGTCTAGGGGGACACATCCCTAGCCTGGGACTTCTGCTGAGGCAGAAGGCCAGACAAGAGCAGGAGCAAAGAGAAGGGGAAGCAGAGGGAGGGGAAGAGGGACCAAGCCGAGTTGTCTGCCCAGAATTTGTGGACAGCCTCTTGTTCTGCAGTACCTGGCTGGGTTCACTCCTACCCTGGGCTTCCCACCAGGTTCAACATGAATTTGCTGGAATACAGTTTCCTTCTCTCCTGCTACCTTTCAACACACACACACACACACACACACACACACACACACAGACCAGAATTTCCAGGACTCCCCAACAGATGTCTGTTGCAGTCCTCCTTTGTTCAGAGTGACACTGACTCCTCTCTCACCCAGAAGCATGAGTGAAACTGGGGGTGAACAGTGCTACTGCAGACACCAAGCCCCTCTGCGCAGGCGCCACACCTCGTGCCACTCTTTGGACACTAATGTCCAAGGGCCATCAAGAGCTGAGGACTCACTCAGTCTTTGGAGCAGTCTTGACACTCATTTACCTACCCTGCACTGACGCCCCTCTCCACAGTAAAGGCAAGAGGCATAACCGAATTCCTACACACACACACACACACACACACAGAGGCCTTCTCCCTACAGAGCATGCTGAGTCTGGGGCAGCAGAAGGCTTGGCTCATCCATCCCAAGCCCTCCACTGACAGCTCTGTCTTCCTCCCTGAATCAAACGATCATGTATGGTGATATTTCATTTTGTACTAAAATGTTATTTGTATGTTAATAAATAAAGTTGCCCTTGGGTCAGAGCTATTAGCAAGCCATAGGAAAGCCAGGCGGTGGTAGCGCACGCCTTTAATCTCAGCACTTGGAAGGCAGAGCCAGGCGGATGTCTGTGTGTTCAGGGATACAGCCAGCATTGGATACACACACCTTTAATCTCAATACTAACCATACAAGACTGGAGGTCTATACAGACAGGCAGTGACGAGGCGGTCATGTGGTTGGGTTTACAACCAATGAGAAGGCAGAACCAAAAGTCTTTATAAAGACTTTAACACAGGAAGTAGCTCTCTTTTTCAGAGAGGTAGAACCACCGCAGGAGGAAAGGTAAGGTTTTAGCTCTTAGCTCTGACCTCTTGGCTTTCTTGTTTGCATTGGTTCTGTGTTTCTTATTTAATAAGATGGTTGGTTACATCTACAATCATGTTTGGAGAGTTCCTATCACAGGCCCTCTCAGGCAGTGATGTCCCTAATATGTCTTGTACTTTAGTGTGGGCTCTACTAGAAAACAGCTAATAATGGAGAGAGATCACAGGAGCATGTGGGTAGGCAACAGGGGGCATACATCTAAGAATGTCTGCTGTCCCTTTCTATCTTTCTACCTTTCTGTCTGTCTTCCTTTATTTTTTCTCTTTCTTTTCTTTGCCTCTTTCTTTCTTTCTTCCTTCCTTTCTTCCTTCCTTCCTTCCTTCCTTTCTTTTCTTTCATATAGGGCTTCATGTAGCCCAGGCTAGGCACCAACAATTTATGTGGCCCAGGATGACCCTGAGCTCCTGATCCTCTTGCTTCTAACTCCTGAGCACTGAGATTTCAGATGTGTCTCCATGCCCAGTTAGTGCAGTGCTTGGGAATTGAACTCAGGGCTGGATATGTACATACATACATACATATTGTATACATACACACACATGTGCACATATACACGTATGTACATATGCACATATTAAATGACAAACATTCTACCAGCTGAACTACATTTGCCCCTCACAATAGACTATTCTTCAGCCATTGACACAAAAGAGTAAATTTCTTATACTATGTGATTGATCCTTAAAAAAGTGTTGAATGGAAGAAGCCAATACAGCAAAGACCACACAGTGCATGGTTTCATGTTTGTAAAATATCAAAAAGGAGCAAATCCGCAGTGACAGTAAGCACCCTCCAGGTTGGCAGGGGCTTTAGGAGTAGATTGGATAGTTATGGCTAATGGACAGGAGGCTCTATTTAGGTGAGGAAAAACTTGTGTAAGTGGGTATTTGTGATAACATTGTGAATGGACAAAATGTAACTGATTTGTACACATCAAAGATAGCTTAACTACACAGGGCCTTGTGGCATATGCCTGTAATCCCAGAACTTGGGTGGTAAAGCAGATTCACACACACACAGAATGACAGAGACAGAGAGACAGAAAGAGAAATAAAATCTTTAGTGTAGTATGCCACATAGCACCAAGGGAGTGCATCCCTGCTTCTTGCTATCATCACTGAGATACATTGTAGGCATCCATGAGATTATTCTCCCCAAAGAAACTTGTCCTTGGATCCAGGCATATAATATTTCTCATCCACTTAATTATCATAATTCCAAGTATATATATTTTTGTTTTGTTTTGTTTTTTTCTAGGCAGAGTTTCTCTGTTTAGTTTTGGTGCCTATCCTGGATCTCGCTCTGTAGACAAGGCTGTCCTCGAACTCAGAAATCTGCCTGCCTCTGCCTCTGAGTGCTGGGATTAAAGGTGTGTGCCACCACTGCCCGGCAAAGAATATATTTTTGAAGCAGATTTGGAATTTATTAAAAGAGATTTTGTGTGCATGAGGATTTGGGGGGGAGGGTAGAGTCAGGGTCTCATTGTGTAGCTCTGGCTGGCCTGGAATTCCCTAGGTAGATCCGAATGGTCATGAACTCACAGAGATCCCTTTGCCTCTGAGTCCTGGGTGCTGGGATTAACCTGTGCCTCTGCCACCACACCCAGTTTAAAAGGGATTTTTAATGTAGATTTAAATTTCTTTAATTTTATCTTATACATATGGGTGTTTTGACTTCATGAGTGTCTGTGCTCCATTTGTATGACTGTGGAGGAAAAGGCTTGGATCCACTGGACCTGGATTTACCAATATTGTGAGCTGCCTTGTGTGTCCTGGGAATCAAACCCAGGTCCTCTGGAAAAACAGCCAGTGTTCTTAATTGTTAGGCCATCTCTCCAGCTCCTTTAAATGTAGATTGAACTATGTGGGATTTAATGAAAAGAGACATGCTCCAGGAAAAAATAAGATAGAACCAAGTATGGTTATGCGCTCCTGGAGGGCAAACCAAGAAGAAGCAATCCTTTTCAATAGTGAGTGAGAAAAAAACACCTATGAAATATCCTAAGGACTAAGAGGGCAGGATAAATCGGCGTGCCAAAATGCACACTAAAACCCATTGTAATACGGTTAGTAGTACATATTAGATACCATTGTCCATACACTAAATACTTAAAAACTTGAGGCTTTCGGGGTCAGAGAGACAAAGGGCTGGAAGCCCAAATTGAACCTGAATTTGTGAACACCCAGGCGACCTGGAACGCTGCAGCGCCCCCTGGCGGCACCCTAGGTTTCGAGCATCTTTGCACACAGCTGGGAAGGAGAGCGCAAAGCCACAGCACAGAGAAGATGGCTCTGTCCCAGAGCGACCGTGCGCTGGTTCTCGCTCTATGGAAGAAGATGAGCAGCAACGTTGGAATCTACGCGACCGAGGCCTTGGAGAGGTATGGACCCAGTCTGGCGCCCTCGGGCTCATCTTCCAATGGACGGCGAGGCGAAGGCGGGCTCTCTACACCTCCCGTTCCGGATGCACCCAACTCAGTCTTCCCACAGGACCTTCGTGGCTTTCCCCTCCACCAAAACCTACTTCCCGCACATGGACCTGAGTCCCGGCTCTGGCCAGGTTAAAGCCCATGGCCAAAAGGTGGCCGATGCACTGACTCTCGCTGCCCACCACCTGGACGACCTGCCTGGTTCTCTGTCTGCTCTCAGTGATCTGCATGCTCACAAGCTCCGTGTGGAACCCGCTAACTTTCAGGTGAGCTGCATTTGTGGTTGCTGCTGACGCGGGTCCCTTCAGGTTGGGTGTCTGTTGGGGAGAGATAAATGAAAGGCGGGGTGGTTCTCTCTCTTCCTTCAGTTCTTCAACCACTGTCTGCTGGTGACTCTTGCCCGGCATTATCCAGGAGACTTCAGTCCAACGATGCACGCCTCTCTGGACAAGTTTCTGGGCCTTGTGACTTCGGCACTGGTCTCCAAATATCGCTGAGGATGTATCCTAGTATCCCAAAGCAAGGTTCCAAGAGGCGGGAATTGCAGCTGAGCGGGAGTCACAGAACTCCTATGGGAGTTCCTTGTATTTTGTTTTGGTTTGTTTTTTTGTTTTGAGATAGATTTCTTCGTCTTATGTAACCCAGCTTGGCTTCTCAAATCCATAATATAGACTAGGTTGTTCTTGAACTACTGGGCCTTCTGTTTCCACCCCCATCTCCAACCGACCTCCCATCCCCCACGCCCACCTACCAGTACATGGATTACAAGGCTTACATGGCTCACACCTGGCTCCACAGAGACGCTTTTTATTTTAATTCAACCCTTTGTTTTCTATGTTGGAGGTGAGAAGGGAGGCCTCCTGCATGCCAAAGTTCTCTGAGCTGTAGAAAATGTAGCTGGCAGGGCAAGTCTGGGCAGGGAGTGAATAAATTCAATCTTTAGATTAGAACAGGAAGAAAGGTTCTGTAGAATACAGTGCAAAGGGCAAAGAGCTGGGTGGTAGGTAACAAGAGTACCACCTGCAGCTGGAGGACCTGTCCTAGTACCTCCACATGTCCCCAGACACCAGAGGAGCCTCAGGCCATCTCCACTGTGGACATCTAGGGCACCGAGTTACAATCCATGCCTTTAGCCTTAGCCACATCAGTTGCTGCAGAATGGTAGCTTTTGTCTTTCAGAAGGGTGACAGGTATAAAGGTCATGGGTCAGCATAAGTGACAATGCTCAAAACAACCTCTTCCCCAGCCATCACCCTCCCTTGGGGTTACCGTGTTTCTCCAGACTCTGCTCAGAGCCTGGTCCAATTGCAAGGTAGTCAGCTGCCTGGAGCCATGCATGGGGTGCACAGTTAAATGAGGATGCCAGTGGGTGTCCAGGACACACTGGGTACTGTCCCAGAGAAATTCACAGTCATTGAATTTCTACCTGCCCAGATCAACCATGCCCATGGTATGTGAGTATGTATTCTGGGGATTTCAAGCATCAGTGAGGCTATGCCTAAAGCATTCTATGCAAGACTCAATTTCTTTAATGAGGTGATTCCAGCACTAAAGCCTGTCATGTAGAAAAGTGACAGGGGACCGCCAACCCTGCCTTCATTGGTCTTAAGAGAGGGGGACAGTCATTTCTTTGGACTACCTAAGATCAATCATGTTTATGGCAGGAACCTGATTTTAACCTACCACCCATTGGCTACATCTTAGGCTAAGGAACGTGTCTGAACATCTGTTAGTCAGTCTTGCAGTTCTCTGACATAAGGCAAACTGTGTCCTGTTTGAACAAATAGAAGAAACTGAATTCATCTCCCAAGGCACATGCACGACCCACACTTCTGTGACATGGGGTAAACACTGACAGAGTGGAACTACATAGAGAAAAAACCACCAGAGACGTGTTATGGTTAGTCACACACAGGGCCGACTGGGCTAAGTGCACTCAGGAGGCTGATAAAGCCTTGTTTCTAAAGTGTCTGGGAAGGACCAAAAAAAGCATCCAGAGTGACACTTCCTCTGCACAATACTGGAGATCGCCCATCCACCAGGGGCCTGGAAGGAAGAAAAGGGTCTTCTTTTCCTAACCTGGACATCCATGTCCTTGTGCCATGGCCTCTGGGTACTCTGACTGGGGAGCAGTATGAAGATCATTGGCCCCCCTGGATCATGGTCCTTTAGGTTCACATGGGATTGATTGACACTGGCACAAGGTTCCTGGGGCCCCAGGTTGCAGGTGGCAAATGCTAGGACTTTCCATGCTGTAAAGAAACAGGAGGACTGACCTATACCAGCTAAACCTACAGCCACAGACCAAACAGAACAATAGTTTGTGATGGCACTAACTTGGATCCCAGCTATTTCTGTATCTGAGGCAGGGAAATCTTAGGTTCAAAGACTGTCTGAGATGTATAATAACACACTCACCTTAAACACCACCACCACCAGGCAATGGTGTTGCATGCCTTTAATCGCAGCACTCAGGAGGCAGAGGCAGGTGGATCTCTGTGAGTTCCAGGCCAGCTTGGTCTACAGGACGAGATCCAAGACAGGCACCAAAACTACACAGAGAAACCCTGTCTTGAAAAAAAAAAAAAAAAAACAAAAAAAAAAAACGACAAAAGGCAGGACTGGAGATAGAGCTCAGGAATAGGGCCCCTGTATTACATAGGCAAAGGTTTGATCTTTAATAGCACAAAATAACAAACAAACATAAAGCAAATTAAAAATAAAAATAGACTGTTGGCTGTACATTTAGCTCATCTATTTGTTGGCAGATATTTCTTTCCTTCCTGCCAGTTCCCAAATAACCTACACAGAGACTTAATATAAATTGTAAATGCTTGGCCAATAGCTCAGGCTTGTTTTTTAGCTATCTCTTACATTTAAATTAACCCACATTTCTTATCTATGCTTTGCCACATGCCTTGTTACCTTTTCTCAGCATGGCATCTGCTGGTGACTCCTCCAACTTCACCCTTCTTCCTCCTAGCATTCTGTTTGGCTCTCCTGCCTAACTTTATCTTGTTCAGCTATTAGCCAGTCAGCTTCTTTATTAAACCAATCACAGTGACATATATTCACACAGAGTAAAGGAATATTCTGTTTGGGATGTCTTTCTGTATGCTGTGAATATATGCTGTTCCCATTGGTTAGTAAATAAAGCTGCACCGGTCTATGGCAGGGCAGGATGGAGCCAGGCGGGAAAATCCAAGAGAGATAATGAGAGGAGAAAGGAGAGTAGAAGGAGACACCGAAATGCCTTCCAAGGAGCAACATGTAATGGGACACAGGTAAAGCCACGGACATAGATAAATAGAAAGGGGTTAATTTAAGATCAAAGAGCTAGCTAGCAGGAAGCCTGCCATAAGCCATACAGTTGGGAATTAATATACATCCTCTGAGTCATTATTTTATAAATAGCTATGGGACCATGGGACCAGGTGGGACTGGAGAAAACCTCTAGCTACAATATTCCACAGCTATTATATAGGCTAGGCTCACAACCCCAAACTAGACTGTTGAACATGCAGAGGCAGGTGCCAGAAATACACTCTGATTCTTGCCCTTTCCAGCCAGATGAGTCTAGGACCTACCAGTACACTGACCCCCACAAGCAGAGCACCTTGATCAGCACAGGGTACTTTTAGGAAACCCAAAGCACAGTATCTTTCCTTCTTGCTATTTCTCATGAGTTCAAGATCCCCAGCACTGGGACCCAGCTGACTGTTTTCATTTTCAGACACAAAGGCTGGAGTGTGGTTTTTCCAGGGACATATAAACACAGAGTATCCCTAGGAACTGGCCTGGTACCAAGAGATTCCACAAATGATTGACACACATCCAGTTTATTGAATAAAATATGGTTAACTGAGATTCCTAACAAGCAGTAGGGGGTTACTAAGAAACCAAATTCATCCAAAGTCAGCAGGTACCTGAACTCATCTACATATAGATACAGTTCTGTCTGTAGCACAAACCTGGACTTAGATACTCATGTAGAGTCAAAATAGCAGAAGAGGGGGTTGGAGAGATGGTTCAGCAGTAAAGAGCATGTACAGCAGAGGACCTGGGTTCAGTTCCCAGAACTGAATATCAGCTGGCCAGTCATCACCTATAATTCCAGCTTCAAAGGGGTTGATCCCATGCCCTCTTCTGGACTCCATAGGTGCCTGCATCCACATGTGCACAGGCAAACACTTAGACTGATGCATATTTCTTATAATTAGCTCTGGCTGACCTTGAACTTACCATATAGACCAGACTGGCTTGAAAGCCATAGAGACCCACCTGTGTCTGTCTCCCCAGCACTAGAATTAGAGGTGTGTGCCTCCATGCCCAGCTATATCTAGATAGATAGATAGATAGATAGATAGATAGATAGATAGATAGACAGATAGATAGATAATTTTGTTTTTACTTGTATGAGTGTTTTCTATGTTTGCTATATATCATGTGTATGCAGTGTCCTCGGAGGCAAGAAGAGAGAATTGGATCTCCTGGAACTGGAGATACAGATAGTTGTGAGTTGCTACATGTGTTCAGGAAATCAAATCCAGATTCTGTGGAGAACAACCAGTGCTCCTAAACACTGAGCCATCTGGGCAACTCTGGCTATCACAAATTTTAAAACAACAACAAAAAGCCAAAGGGTGATATGTGGTGGGATATGTCTTTTAACTTCAGTACTCTGGAGACAGAAGCTGGTGAATTTCTGCAAGTTCAAGACTAGCATATTCGACAAAGTGAGCACCAGGCTAGCAAGGGCTCATGGTGGGTCTTGCCTCAAAATTAAAAAAAAAAAGAAATAAACAAATAAGGCTAAAGTGATGGGTTAGAAACTATGAACATGTTCTGTTCTTACCAAGGACCCAAGCATTTCTCAGTATCCACATCAGGCAGCTCTCAAGAGACTGAAAGCCCAGTTGAGTGTGATCTGATGCCTCTGGCTTCCATGGACACTTCACACAGGGGCATAGACATATATACAGAAATAAAAATAAGAAAAAATACTTTAAATACCGTGTGATGGTGGCACACACCTTTAATCCTCAAATCCTCATACTCAGGAGGCAGAGAGAGGCAGGAGGCTCTCTGAGTTTGAGGCCAGTCTGGTCTAAAGAACAAGTTCCAAGATAGTCAGGGCTGTTAAAACAGAGAAACCTTATCTCCAAAAAAAAAAAAAAAAAAAGACAAAAAATCCTTTAAAAAGATTTTCAATGTTTTTCTGTGTATGAATGTTTTACCTGCATGTGCCTGTGCACTGCAGTTGTGCCTGGTGACCATGGAGGTCAGAAGGGGGTGTCAGATCCCCCCACATGAAACTACAGTTACAGATGGTTGTCAGCCACCTTGTAGGTGCTAGAAATTGAACTCAGGTCCTCTGAAACAGCAACAATTGCTCAAACAGCTGAGCCCTCTATCAAGCCTCATCTATAGGATAGGATTTCTCTCTATAACTGCCTGGCTGTCCTGGAACTCAGTTTGTAGACTGGGCTGGCCTTGAACTCACTAAGATCTCCTTGCCTCTGTATTCCACATGCTGGGATTTAAACTTTGCACCGCCATTCCACCTGTCTTAGTTAGGGTTTCTATTGCTACAAAGAGACTCAATGACCATGGCAACT